GACATGAGGAACTCAAAGTTGTTGGTGGGCAGACCCAGCTCGAGGTAGGTGCGCACCAGGCGGAGGTCGGCGCTGTTCCCGTCCAGGCCGTGCACGCACACGATCAGGTGCAGGTCTTTGTGAGAACTAAAAAGAGAAAGAGAGATTAGTGATCAAAAGGCACTCAAAAGAAAAATGAAACTCACTTGAAGGCCCGAAAGTCGGGGTCGCACTGGAAGTAGGGAATGCGCGAGGCAAGCGTGTGAAAATCGCTGTAGAAGAGGAGACTCTTGTCGCGCAGCAGCGGCTGACCATTTCGGAAGGCCTCCTTCGCCGTGAGAAAGGACAGCAGGTCGGCGGTGCCACTGGCGGTCGCCGAAAGACGACGTACTTGGGAGGTGGTTGCTGCTGCATCAGTGCTCGAATTGGCTGGGGAGGAAGCTGGAGGAACCGTTGAAGCTGAAGGCTGAGAGCTAGCTGCTTCCACTGATTGCTGCTGCTGATGCTGCTGCTTGGCCTTTGCCTTCTTCTTCTGCTGATGCTGTTGCTGTTGTTGCTGTTGTTGCTTCTGCTGATCAGCAGTGGTGCAGACACAAGGCCATGAGTGGTGGTTGCTGTCCACTGCAGGAACTTTTGCACTATTCACCGCTGCAGGCCATCCTCCCTGTCGGGCGCTGAGTGATCCAGAGCAGAGGAGACAGTGGTCCGAGCGAAGCAGCTCCAGAAAGGTGAACTTGTTCACGTCGGTTGANTCGGCGCTGTTCCCGTCCAGGCCGTGCACGCACACGATCAGGTGCAGGTCCTTGTGAGAACTAAAAAGAGAAAGAGAGATTAGTGATCAAAAAGGCGCTCAAAACAAATGAAACTCACTTGAAGGCCCGAAAGTCGGGGTCGCACTGGAAGTAGGGAATGCGCGAGGCGAGCGTGTGAAAGTCGCTGTAGAAGAGGAGGCTCTTGTCGCGCAGCAGCGGTTGACCATTGCGGAAGGCCTCCTTCGCCGTGAGAAAGGACAGCAGGTCGGCGGTGCCGCTGGCTGTCGCCGAAAGACGACGTACTTGGGAAGCTGATGCATCAGTGCTCGAATTGGCTGGGGAGGAAACTGGAGGAGCCGTTGAAGCTGAAGACTGAGAGCTAGCTGCTTCAACTGATTGCTGCTGCTGCTGATGCTTGGCCTTTGCCTTCTTTTTCTGCTGATGATGTTGTTGTTGTTGTTGTTGTTGCTTCTGCTGATCAGCGGTGGTGCAGACACAAGGCCATGAGTGGTGGTTGCTGTCCACTGCAGGAACTTTTGCACTATTCACCGCTGCAGGCCATCCTCCCTGTCGGGCGCTGAGTGATCCAGAGCAGAGGAGACAGTGGTCCGAGCGAAGCAGCTCCAGAAAGGTGAACTTGTTCACGTCGGTTGAGGTGCTGCTGCTGATGCTGATCAGCTGTTGCTGCTGCTGTTGATGCTGCTGACGAGTGCTGCTGGTGCTGCTGTTTAAGTAGGCGTCGTCTTTGGATTTCTGCNCTTTTGCACTATTCACCGCTGCAGGCCATCCTCCCTGTCGGGCGCTGAGTGATCCAGAGCAGAGGAGACAGTGGTCCGAGCGAAGCAGCTCCAGAAAGGTGAACTTGTTCACGTCGGTTGAGGTGCTGCTGCTGATGCTGATCAGCTGTTGCTGCTGCTGTTGATGCTGCAAACGAGTGCTGCTGCTGCTGTTTAGGTAGGCGTCGTCTTTGGATTTCTGAATAGCAGCAGCAGTGCTGGCACCAGCTTGGTTACCAGCCTTTGCAGCTGCGACCACGTTCTCCAGCTTGGCCTTGGCCTTCTCCACTCTCGCCTTCTCGCGTTCCAGACGCTCAGTTAGGTCTTGACATGAGCTGGAGCCCTTCAGCTTGAGACTGTCCAAACTGTGCAGCAGCAGCAGTGCCTCTGCACCTGCTGATGGAGTGCTGTTGCTGGTGATGGCCTGGCCATTTGCATGATGATGAGGATGAGGAGGATGGTGCTGGTGGTGGTGGTGCTCATCAGAGTGCTCACTGCTGACGGTTATCTGTGGCTGCTTTGAAGAGACACTCTTGCTGCCGGCAGCCCTGGGAATGGCCTTCACGTCTACCTCCTCAGTGGGCTCATCAATGGAGGCAAACTCCTTCGGTGGTTTCGGAAAGTACATCGTTCCCTGGAAGGTCGGCGTGAGATTTCTCATCACTGCACCACCAGCACCGTTGCCTCCACTGTTCAGACTTCTCAGCGAGGTGGCCGTGGTCAGCGCCGCCCCGCCACTTCTCATCACCTGATCATCGGTCAGCGACATCGAATCGCTCTTTGACTTGCCAATCCGTGATGAGGAAGACGGCGACTTGCTTAGTCCCTTTGCAGCACTGTCCTTTGGGGTTTTCGCTGCAGAAACTAACTGCTGTTGTTGTTGCTGCTGCTGTGTTAGATTGGGCCATGATTGAGTGCCAGAGTCCTTGCCAGTCCCATCAGTCAGAGTGATCGACTTGTGATTGGGCACTGCTGAAAAGTTGGGCTGTGGAAAGTGCAGTGAGAAGGCAAGGGCGGAGGCGGTGGCCGCCGTCCTCATGAACTGCTCCTTCTGCTGCTTCCGCTCCGAGTAGCTGTACAGCTTGGAGTAGCTGCTCTTCAGCAGGTGCTCCTTTCGGTAGAGCAGGCTGTTCAGCAGCTTGATGCGACGATTCACCGAGAGACTGTCGGCGGTCGTGGGCGAGGGATTGTACAGTTGACCACCTTCACCGCCTTTGCCATCACCTTCAGCAAAGAGGTCAGTGCCGTAGAGGCCGAGCAGGTCAATGGCAGCTGATGAATTGGCTGTAGTGCTGCTCGTGGTCACTGCCACCGTCTTGTCTTCAACCAATTGGATTTCCTGGGCAGCACTCTTGTCAGCTCCATTGGCCTGAAAGACGACCACCTCCTGCTGTTGCTGCTGCTGTTTCTGCTGTTTCTGCTGCTTGCCATCCGCTGTGACAACGTAGTTCAGCTTGGTGAGCAAAGTGCGAATGTTGTTTTTGTTTGAGGAAGAGTTCGAAGAGGTGGACGTGGAGGTGGTGGAAGATGAGGTGGGCGAAGAAAGCGAGTGCTTCGAGACACTGCTGTTTCCACTGTTTCCATTGAGAGCCAGTGCCTCCAGCCGAAGGAAACTTCTCCGCCGGCTGATGACGGCCACCTCCTCGGTGCTGCTCATCGACTCGTACTGCTGCTCAAAGATGACGGGCAGCGTGGAGGCGTCGCCGTCCATCGGCAGACACTCCACCGAACAGGGCGGCAGACGGGCGAGGTAGGCCGATTTGCGCACCGCCTCACTGAGCTCTGCCCACCGGGCGGAGGTCTCGTCGGTGAGGGCGTACAGGTCGGAGCGGGGCAGCTCGGCGGTGAAGAAGCCCTCGGCGAAGCGGCGAATGCGGCTGAGGTGGTGCCGCTTCGCCAGGTGCTGGTTGATCCGCTCGGAGTGGCTGGCCAGCCGCAGCAGACGACTCCACTGGTCGGCGGTCAGCGAGCAGAGGGCGGCGATGTCTCGCTGGACGGTGGCCAGCATCGTCTCCTCCGATTGATTTCCTCCAACCGAGCCACTGCCACCACCGCCTTCCAGAAATGAAGGCAAGCTGTTTCGAGCAGCAGAAGCGCCGCCCTCACTTTCCGCCTGTTCAGTGAGTCGGCGAAGACAGTTCCTTGAAAGCTCACTTAGCTGTTGAGTTGAATCCTCGGTAATGTCGACGAGGAGCGAGTGGAGGTGTATTCGCGCCTGCTGCCAGGGTGGCAGCAGTTTGTAGTACTCGTCCACCTTGCGGCGCAGTGTCACCAGCGACTCGCCCATCAACGAGACCAGCCGCCACTGGGCCAGTTGCAGACGGCGAACCAGAAGACTTGATTTGNGTCGACGAGGAGCGAGTGGAGGTGTATTCGCGCCTGCTGCCAGGGTGGCAGCAGTTTGTAGTACTCGTCCACCTTGCGTCGCAGTGTCACCAGCGACTCGCCCATCAACGAGACCAGCCGCCACTGGGCCAGTTGCAGACGGCGTACCAAAAGACTCGATTTGGTGGATGATGATGCACCACCACCAGCAGCAGCAGCAGCAGCACTACCGCCGCCATTTTCCTGCATTCGCTTCTCCTCCTTCATCAGCTCGCTCTTGCTGACCAGACTGCTCAACCAGGCGGCTGAAGTGCTGGTGCTACTGCCACTGCTGCCCTTCTCCGAAGATGAAGCACTTTCCGAGGAGGGACACTCACCCCCATTGATAAGCATCGGTGTTTCACCACCAGCAGCAGCAGCAGCAGCAGCACTAGCACTGCCCAGAGAGGACGATGGTGCACAGAGGGTGACCAGCGCCGCGTGGACCGTCAGGGTGACGGCGCTGAGGTGAAAGTAGTCAAAGATGACGGGCAGATTGTAGTGCAGACCACGGCACAGGTCGAGGTGCAGCTGCAACTGGCGACTGCTGGCCAGCAGGAAGCTGGGGCTGTTTGAGTGGACCATTCCTCCTCCTCCGCCGATGGCCATCACCTCCTCCTCCTCCTCCTGTTCGGTGAACCACAGCTCCACGGCGAGGAGGAAGGATATCTTGGAAGCGACCTGCTCCCGACAGTCGTTTGCATCCAGAACGAGGTGCACCCGAAAGGGGGCGGCATCGTTCAGCTGCACCTCCTCGTTTTTGTAGACGATCTGGAAGGTGCTGCTGATGGCGGTGTTGGAGTGCGGGAGAACTGTTCCCGGGTAGAGGATGCTGCCCGAAGGAGGAGGTCGGGAGAAGGAGTCAGAAGAGGAGAGCTGATACTTGACGACAACTGCTCGAGAGCTGCTGCTGCTTCCTTTCTGTGGCCGACTTGAGTGTTTCTTTGAGGTGCTGCTGCTGCTGCTGTGTTTGCTTGATGATCCATTTGTTTTGGCTGTTGTTGTAGTGCTGCTGGTCAAGGAGGACGAGGAGGAGGACAGTGTGAGATTGCCATTGCCATTGCTGAAATCTGCCTTCAAACGACTAGATTTGGGCGCCGATTTGATTGCCTTTGAGTGGCTCTGCTGACTACTGCCATTGTTGTTGTTGGTGTTGTTGCTGAGCACTTCCACCCGGTGCGGCACTTTGCAGTTGGGCAGCTTCAGCTGAAGGCGAATCTGGTACAGGCTAAAGGAAAAGATTCAATTAGAAATTGACGGCAAATAGACACACTGTTTAGGTCACCGGTGACCACTTACCCTCTCTGAAAGAGGTCAATGTTGACAAACTTGTTCAGCTGAAAGGAAAAGTCGATGATGGCCTGAAAGTCGGACATGATGCTGGTGCTGATGATGCCCACCAGCACTGCACTTGCTCTCTCAGCTGAGGACGTGCAGACTGGAGGAGCATCGTAGTTAGGGCCGCATTCTCCTCATTATTATCAGCTCATCATCATCACCAGTGAATCATCAGCTGAGCGGCGTCATCGGGTGCGGCCATAGACCTGAGAGATAAATAGAATTGTGAGAGAGAAAGAGAAGAGAGCGAGAGAGGTGAGTGCCACTGCCGCCGCCGCTTCCATTCCCGTCTGCTCAGCAGTGCGACGTCCGATTCTGCTGCAGAATTGTGAGGCGCAGGCGTCCCTCGTCTCATTCAGTGTTGCAGCTNGAATAGTGAGAGAGAAAGAGAGCGAGAGAGAGGTGAGTGCCACTGCCGCCGCCGTTATTCCCGTCTGCTCAGCAGTGCGACGTCCGATTCTGCTGCAGAATTGTGAGGCGCAGGCGTCCCTCGTCTCATTCGGTGTTGCAGCCTGTGTGTGTGCATTACCCTGTGCATTACATAAGCACAGTGCGGGCACACATTCCACTGCATTCCCGGATTCACAGATGACGCCATCTACTTCTCCAGTTGAACAGTTAAATGCCACAGTTCAAACCCAGTGACACAGTGGCCAATGCTATGCATTCGATAAATGCAGCACTCCATTTTGTTCAGCAAAAAAGACACTCTTTTATTCTTGTATATTACAACAGCCTCTCCGAAAAATTGTCTCTGAAAAATTGGACAACTGGAAACAAAAGGCAATTTAACTAATTTAAGCGGCACAGGTTTGGTGTTTGGGAATGCAGTAAGAATGTGTGAGTGTGTGTGTGCAGTGGACAAGTGGTGATTTGGTGCAGTAAAGAAAAGTGGAGTGGAGAGAGAATCATGATCACAGTCAGACGGACGGAAAGAATAAAGATGACTACTGCTGATACTGGCGGTGGTAGGATGGCTCGATTCGCGGATACAGCTACAACCAAAAAGAGAACAAACAGTTAGCAAACGTACAGTGGTAATTAAAATCAGACTCTTACCGAAAAGAGATTCCTCGGAATGAATCCCTCCTTCTGCCCATCCTTCTCCTCTTCTTTCTGCTGGTGATTGTCCTCCTCCTGTTGATTGGCCTTACAGACCTTCCTCGCCCACCACCAGCCCTTCTCCACCTCGTCGACCTTCCTCAGCACCTGCACCCGATCGCCCTGTCTGAAGCTGAGCTCATCCTCATTGACCGCCTCGTAGTCGTACTGCGCGTACACCAGACCGCCGTTGATGCTGCCAATCTGATCTTGGATGCCTGCAGAAAAGAACACTGATTAGTGACTCACTTCATTGTCACTGCCGTAGCGTACCAAAAAGGTACTGCGAACATCCGTCGAATCCGTCCTCGTCCTCCTCGCACTTCTCCGCCGCCGTCTCTCGGTCGGAGAAGGTGGCCGCGTAGGGACAGGCACCGGCGCCCACCAGGTACCGAATCATCGGCAGGTTGTTGCACGAGGCGGCACAGTGCAGCGGCGTCCTAAGGGATATATGTTCAGTGATCAGTCTTTCTATTCACTAATTGACCTCTCCAGAAAGCGACTTACCATCCGTCATTGTCCTGTGCATTGACATCACAGCCAATCTCCACCAGGTACTGCACTATGTCAAAGTGACCGGCACAGGTGGCGTTGTGCAGGGCGGTGATGGACTCGTCATTGGAGGCACTCGGATTGGGCACCTGTTCAAAGAAGAAGAAGAAGATGATGATAATGCTTATTAAGCCTTATTAAGGCTTAAATAAACACTGCCTGAAATTCTCTTACCTCTCTGGAGGTTTTCTTCACCAGCTCCAGCTCGCCCTCGAGCGCGGCATCGAGGAGGAGGGCGAGTGGATCGAAGCTGACCCGCCGACCGAGTGGTGCCTTTTTCTTTCCGTTCTCATTCTCTTGCTTTCCACTCAACTTCAGNAGAAAAACTAAATAAACATTCCAACACCTTTTTTGTATAATTTTATCACATTTTATCCAAATATTTAACCACAGAAGTTTAGATAAAGTTTTTTAACTTCATTTTTGCTTTTTGCCTCACCTTAATCTGATTTGTAGTTCTTGAGATAAATGAACCTAGAGAATCATAACAAACCCTATTGAAACGCATGCTTTGAGGAAGGGCGCAGGGAAGCCCACTTTTCAGTAAATCGAGTGTGGCCTTAAGGCTTAAATAAACACTGCCTGAAATTCTCTTACCTCTCTGGAGGTTTTCTTCACCAGCTCCAGCTCGCCCTCGAGCGCGGCATCGAGGAGGAGGGCGAGTGGATCGAAGCTGACCCGCCGACCGAGTGGTGCCTTTTTCTTTCCGTTCTCATTCTCTTGCTTTCCACTCAACTTCAGACTGCCCTTCATCCGTTTTGGCTTGCTCATGGTCGTCATCTTGTTCTTCTTGTTTTCATTTCCGTTGTCATCGACGTCAGTGGACGTCACATCCGCTGTACAATTGTTGTTTTTGTTGTTATTGTTGGCCAGATCCTGTTTGGCGGCAGCGGCGGCGGTTGTTGTTGTTGAGCTTTTGCTCCTCTGTTTTTGTTCGGGCGGTGAATTGGCACTTCTGTCTTTGATCGTCGTCGTCGACTCCTTCTCCCTGCTGTTCATCAACTGCTTCTCCATGTCTGCCACCACTGGCCGTCGCCTGTTCTTCTCCCAGTCGGTGCTACTACTGCTCTCCCCGCTGCTCACCGACCACTGGTTGAGGCGGTTGACAATTTCACTGACCGAGGTACTTCGGCCGCTCTTCTCTTCAAGCTCCTCATTCCGCCGGTTCTCCTCAAACTGCTCCTCCTCCGCCTCCTCCTCCTCGGCGATGTCCTCCTCAAACTCCATGGTCACCAGGTCCGAGCTGCTCACCTCTGACTCAACTGAACTGAGCAGCAGTGAGGAGGAGGAGCAGTGACCTTTGCCCTCCTCCTCCTCCTCCTCCTGCAGAAAGATGTCCGAGGAGGAGTAGACGCCAGAGGTGGGCGTGGAGAGGGTGCTGTTCTCAGCAGAGGAGCACGACCGTCCAGATCTATTAAATAGAAACAAAGAGATATTGAGTAAATGTGCACAAACGCAAATGTCACTAGGCGTCTCACTTTTGCCCGACAGCCCCGCCGTACAGCTGGTGGTGGTCGTAGCGACTGCTGGTGCTTCCACTGCTGAAGGCGGTCAGATTGTCCACACAGTCCCCATCCGATTCACTGGTGGTGGTGGTGGTGGTGGTGGTAGTGGCGGCAATGACCGATGGCTTCACCGGAGCTGATGGCTTCGATGAAGAAGTGCTGCTCGAAGCTGTGGAGCTCTTCTTCACATCCTTACTGAGTGGCACATAGGAGGCTGAAGAGGCTGAGGAGGTGGTTTTGGTGTTGGCGTTGGTGTTGTAGTAGTGGGACATCTTGTCCCCATAGACGTCAAAGGCAGAGGAGGAGGCCATTGAGGAGGAGATTCGGTCATCGGATCCACTGCTGCCCGAAGGCGAGGGCCGCTCCTCCAGGGAGTTCCCTTCCTCCTCCTCCTCCTCTTCTCTTTCGCCCTTGCTACTGTCCAAGCTCTTCTGACGCTGATGATGATTGGAGTGCTGCTGCTGGTAGTGCTGATGATGATGATTCGGAGCAATGATCAGCGAAATGTCATTTGAGGGATGGTGGTAGTGATGATAGCCGTTGGGCTGATAGCTCGCTGAAGACTGCTCTGAGGGCTGATTGCTTGAGCTGTGATTGTTCGGGTGGTGATTGTTCGAGTGATTGGTGAAACTGCTCAGTGTGGAGATTGAATGCTGCTGCTGGGGCTGATGCTGCTGTTGCTGCTGTTGCTGCTGTTGCTGCTGTTGTTGCTGCCTTCCAAACTTGGCCAAACTGTACGGCAGTGTCTGGTACTTGCTGCCGCTCAGAGAGTGCTGCTGCTGTTGCTGCTGATGGTCAATGGTGGGAGGAACAAAGTCAAATTGCTGAAAAAGGGAAGAATTACCGGTTAAGAACACATCTAAATCATCTAGTCCTCTCTTATACCTTGAGCATCGTTTCCTGTTGCTGCTTCTGTTGTTGCTGCTGCTGCTGCTGTTTGAGCCGTTGAAGCGGCTCAACGGTGGCAATGTTTGGCGACAGCTGTGAGGCGGATGATGCGTTGCTGTTGTTGTTGTTGTTTGGCTTGCTCACATAGGAACTGGAAGAGGAGGATGGCACTTTGTAGGTGGTGGCACTGCAAGCGCCAGTACCACCGAGGGAACTCCTCAAAACTCCCGTCTTTCCGTTAAAGAGCGCAGTTGAGGCGGTGGTCGTCGTGGTGGAGGACACCTCAGTCTGATCTTTGGAGTTTGTTGGAAGGTGCTGACCAGAGGAGCTGTTGTTGCTGCTGTTGTTCTCCGCTGTCGTTCTGCTGGCCCCTCCTCCACTGCCAATCATCTGCTGATTGAGCTGTCGCTTCCTCGCCAGCCTCGACCTCAGCTCGGTAACCCTCTGTTCGATGGCCAGCATGTCCGCCTGTCGCTTGTAGAGGGCCTTTCGCTTGAACAGCAGCTCCTCGTCCTGCTGCTTGGCGAGCTTGTTCTTGTGCTGTATTGTACAGGCATTGAATTAGCAATTGATTGGGAAGCAATTCAATTAATCGGAAATGAAGTACCACCACTACTTACCAGCAACTCCTGTCTCAGTTTCTCCAGCTCGAGGCCCTGCGTCTGCTGGCTGGCCCTGTTGTTGTTGTTGTTGTTGTTGTTACTGTTAGTGAGCAGGCTGTAGCTGTTTCGACAGTTGCCCCTCTTCAGCTCCTCCAACTGGCGCGTCAGTGCATCGATCTTGCCCATGGCCACCGTCAGCTCGCGCTCCTTCTCCCGGTACAGAATCTTGATGGTCTCCACTTCGGAGCCTATCCAAAAGAAGACAAGAAAAGAAAACAATGCACAGTGAAAAGGAGAGCACTCTAAACTCTGGCAGCAAACACATATTGCGCTTAATTAGCCGCTGGTGGTCCACAACAGCAACTATTGATCGCCCACTGTGAGAGAATGGAGGAGGAAGAAAAAACTAACATGCACTTTATCGATAAAAAGGGAGGGAGGGAGCCAATTAAGTTGCCCACAAAGAGAGCTGCTGCTGCTGCCTGAGCACTAAAAGAGCACCACATCTCATCGCCGGGCATTGTCACCCTTTGCTGGCTGGCCCTAATTGAAATGGGTTGTAGTGTGTAGTGCACTTACAGATGTTGGCATTGGAGCCCCTCTGCTTGCCGATCTGGGCGCGCAGCAGTTGCAGCTGTCGAATCTTGGCCTCCTGCAGCGCCAGGCGCTCCTTCGCCGCCGCCAGATTCGCCTCGTACTCCATCGGCGTCGAGGCTGAGGCTGAGGCTGACGAGGAGGAGACGGAAGCTGAAGAGGAGGAGGAGACGGTCGTTTGTTGGGTGCTGTTGTTGTTGTTGTTGTGATTGTGATTGTTGGTCATCTGAGCGGTGTGCCTGGGAGGAGGAGCAGCAGCACTGTTCTGCTGCTGTTCGTGGAAGGCCCGGTTGGTGAGGAGGCTGAGTCGGTGCTCCTTGCTCACCATCAGCCGGTGGTTGCTCTCGATCTGCTCCTGCTGACGACTGGCCAGGTCCTGCAGCTGCACCAGACTGCTCATGGTGGTGGTGGTGCTGGTGGTGCTGTTGGGGATCACCGGTGATCAATGGTGGTCAGTGAGTGGTAAGTGAGTGAGTGCTGAGTGGGCAGAACTGCCCGATGATTGCCAGGATATGATAGCTTGTGGTGAATGTCACTGCTTGCTGGCTGCACACTTCTTCTTCTTCTTGATTGCCGAATGTGTGCAGAACTGTTAGGCAGCAGAACTAATCCATGGCACACCGGTGTGTGTGCCTGGCAAAACGGTAGTCGTGCTCGCTGAGCTGGCACTATTTTTTTCCTGATGATTGCAGTAAAAATTTCACCGATCTTTCACGGCTGCGGGGAGGTGGTAATCGATCGAGGTATTGCATGCACGGGCTGCACCTGCTGGGGAGAGAAAGAAAGAAAAAGATACAATGAGACAGACGAAATGGAAAGTTTGCAGTCAGCCAAGGTTTGTTTGCCAACGTGAAACTCGAGCAGACAGCAGAAAAGCGCAAGGACACAGAAAGCAAATGTACATTACTTTCACTGCAGCGCATTATTTCATTAGAAGAGGAAAAAGAAGAGGAGAAACCAAAACGGAAAAAACAGTTTGCCCCGCTTTACTTGGCACTAGAACACACATTTGCACACCCATTTCCTTGCACTCAATTCATCATCGACAGGACAACTAGGACTACCACTTTTTGCCTCCATCGATGACATGTGAAAAGGATTGTCAGCTGCTGACAGCAATGCCTGGACGAGCACAGTTAAAGGCAGAGAGTGAGAGAGACACAGCCGAAATCGATTCAGTGAGCAGTGTATTTGGCTAATTGAGCGATCCTTCGGCTTCGGCTTCATCGATTTGAGCAGCAGCGGCAGCGGCAGCATCAGAAAACACTTACACTATCAACTCGTGACGAACTGACTGACGAAGTGAGCGGCGTGGGGCCCGATACTGCGAGCAGGCATGAATTCAGTGCTGCAGTTTGGTGCAGCAATTTGGTGCACTCAAATCAGCAGCAGCAGCCACCACCACCACCACCACGACCGCCACTGACATCGATGCTCTTCGCTGAACCAGAGAAAGAAAAAAGGAAAAAGAGCGCGCCAAAACGCGCGGCAAATAAATCAAATGCTTAACTGCTCCTTCGCCGTAATAGGCCCCAAAATGGCCTAATAGAGAGCGGCAGAGGAAGAGTGCGGGGGGAGGGGGGGAGCAGGAGCAATCTAATTATCCGGTGAGAAGGGCGAGACGTGCTTCTGCCACTAGTGCTGCTGGTTCGCTGGGGCGCCAGGATCCCCTTTCACTATTGCCAAATTGATACTTCGGCGAGATACATTTTTAATAAGCTCATATCGTTTCGGTGGCAGAGTGTGCTCCTTGCTTGCTTGCTTGCTTGGTTAGTTGGTTAGTTATACACGGCCTGATCGATACGCCACCACCAGCACTACCATGGCTGGGCACCACCGACTGGCTCATCAACTGCCTCCTTCTCTCTGGACTGCAACTCACATGTCCGACACTATTACATGATTATTTTGACATTACAGCATTATTAATAGTGACGCCAATCAAGTGAGTGAGTGAGTGAGGGTGAGGGTGAGGGTGCCCCTGTTCTAATGCCCTCCTTTACTATTATTTTATTACCAGCAACTATTACCATTGACTGGGTGCTTGTGCCTGTGCCTGTGCCTCACTGCCTATTATTATTTATTAGCATCTTAGCGGCAGAAGAGGCAACGAAAGGGATAAAAAAGAAGAGAAAATAAAGGGGAGCAAATTCTGACGGGAACGCAGGCACCGAGACAAGGGCATGTGCCCTCTCTGCTCTGCACTAGCACTGGCATCCCTTTCCCGAATTTTTTTCCCAGTTAAGCCCAGTTAAGGGCCTGTTGCCTGGTCCAATTAGCGAAAGCTCATCTCAGGTAAAATTTAGGGCAAGCTGAAGAGGCTGAAAGCTGCTCACAAGCTCATCTTTTACCTCTTTTCTGTGGGTACACAGTGCAGCAGAACTCTCACTCTCTTCAATCCTTCACTTTCAATACAGAGACAAAAGAAAATAGTGAAAGTTGACATTTGCGGCCGTACTTGCTTACACACATACACACACACACACACACACACACACATTACCTTTGTGAGAAGAGGCTAGGCCGCAGAAGGTTGCACTTTCTTTCTTCTAATCGAATTACCGCGAGTTAGCAGAGCCAGTCAGCTAGCCAGCCAGCTAGCACTGCTCGAGTGTACACGGACAAAAGTGAATTTATATTAAAAAATTAGCAAACTTTTAAAAAAAACAGCAGAAACTGAGAAAGAAAGCGAGAGAGAGAGAGTTGGCCCACTCAGTGGGTAATTGAGGCGCCCAGCTAATGGAGTGAAATTAAAATCGTCTGTAGTCGAGTAGGGAGTAGGGGGAAAAGGGAAAAGGCAGCACTTCACTCACTACAACACAACTTTCTCTGTTAATATATACATTTTTATAATCTAATTAAAGTTGTGAACAGGCAAGAAGTGAAAGAGTCAAGTGAAAGAGAGCAGCTCTGTAGCTCTGTTACCGGCACATAGTCAACGGCAAAGAATAATTGCCACCGGCCCCTCTGCATTCCCCCCCCCCTGAACGGCAAATGTCACCCTGAGTATTGAGAATCGCCGGGGCAGGAGAATAAGTAGTTGAGGAGAGCGGACTACAATAATGAAATTATTATTACCAGACAGACAGACGGACGGACGGAGGGACTGACTGACTGGGGAGACAGATCGAGGTCGAGAGTGAGAATGAGAATGGGAATGAGACGGTGAAGAATGAGACATTTGGCAACTGCAACTGCTGCTGCAAAGGCCGGCCCGGTTGAGCACTCACGTTTCGTGACAAGAGTGCTTAGGCTGCTGCTGCTGCCGCTGCTAAAGCTGAAGTTGATATACCGCCGGTGGACGTCATCAGAAAAGAGAAAGAGAGGGTGGAATGGACTGTGCACTGTTTGTTGTTTGCAGTGCAAAAGGCAAAAGTGATAGTGCCCAATGGCAGACACTGGCCAGGAGAAGAAGGAGAGAGAGGGCATCGAGGACGTCGCCGACGACGACGACGACTTTATCGGGCACCGGGCAGGCAGGCAGTCAGGCAGGCAGGCAGGCACATACGCATCCAGTCACTGCAGTTGATGCTTATAAATGGCTGGTATTAATCTNCGCCTACGACGACGACGACTTTATCGGGCACCGGGCAGGCAGGCAGTCAGGCAGGCAGGCAGGCACATACGCATCCAGTCACTGCAGTTGATGCTTATAAATGGCTGGTATTAATCTTAATCTACCAATAATAAATAATAACGAGTCAATGGGTGCTGGGTGGAAAGGGGAAAGAGAGAGAGAGAGAGAGAGAGAGAGAGAGAGAGAGAGAGAGAACTCGGAAAGTCGACTTGACTGTATCTTTTGCTCGCCTGCACTCTTCTGCCCATTTGCCATTTCTCATGGTCACACTTCAGATGAGGAAGTAGAAGTGGGGAAGTGNTGGTCGCACTTCAGATGAGGAAGTAGAAGTAAGGAAGGTTGGGCAATCGACTAAAGACCAAGGCTGAAACACAAACACAGAGGAGAAAGAAAGATTTCTTTTCGTTTAGAGGTGCGAGAGCAGGAGAGGCAGCAGTACCGTCATCATCATCATCAGCAAATGATGCCGGTCTCTCTTTCTTTCTCTTTCTCTTTCTCTTTGGCAGTTAGGCACCATTAGGCAAAGTAAAGCCGGTGTGTGCACACACACACACTGACTCGATTCTCGATTCTTGATTCTTGATTCTGGGCTCGCTCGCTTCCTCCTCTTCTTCTGGCAAAGTTCGATCTTATCTGTGCCTGGCCCTCTCTGGGTTAAGCTTGACTAAGCAGAACGACGAAGACGGGA